TAAAAAGACAATGATGGGCTAGCATAGATAATAGGAAAAAAGCCAGTCTATAGGGGTGGGAATGGTCCCTGGAGGCTATTGGCCCAGGTGAAAGGGTTCAGAAAGAAAGATTTTTATTGGGTCTGTTTCGAGTTTTAATATACTGCTTACTTGTTTCTGAATTTTCTTATATGATGTAATCTGGTAAGCAATTGTATTAGTTATGTTGCTGGAAGGGCAATTTCTTTTATAATCTAGAATGTTGTTAAATTAATTGTGCCTTCAGGGAAAAGAGAAAAAGGAATGAATTGAGGCTGTTGGGGCATTCTATATGGTCCTGTTTTGTAACATTTCCTTTTAAATATTGTAATTTAAGAAATGAGAACTTCCAAGTTTTGTCTATGTTTAAAGGGAAGTTTTAGCTGGGATTATCTGGCTTTCACTTATGAAGTTTAAAATTGTTAACTAAGCTATTTGGAGTTATTGTTAAGTCAAGCACTGGTAAAAATATTTTGTGTGTGCATGTGAAAAGAAACCTGATAATTATGCAAAAAAAAAGACATTTTGTAAAATCTAATAATTCTTATAGGCGCTTTTTGACTAGAGAATTTAGGTAATTAGGAATTTTAGGGTAATTAGGAAATTGTAAGCTGTTTTTGAGAAAGGGAGATACTTTCATAAAAAAAAAGTTTGATGAAATCTTTGATATTCTTTTAGAGGGTCTACTAAATTTCTATTTGCAAGAAAATTATGTCCAAACCTACTACGAACTTAGAGTTTCATTCCTGGGTTTGTTGTGTCCTTGGACTGGACTTAACTGGGTGCTTTTAGAGAAATAGTCTCAATGGAAGCAGCATCAGAGATCTAAGGCTAGTGATTAATACTAAAGCATATAGGCTGTAAGTAGCAAAGATCTTACTGTCTTGATCGGAATTCATTCCATGGCCTAGCAATAGTTAAAATTACTGTTTGAACTTATCATATGTATAGGATTCAAGTCCTGAAAGTGTCTCATTCTTTCAGATTAAGAATGGTTAGAAAGGAATAAATAAGCTTGAGAAACAGAGAGGCAAATTTATTTAGAATAGCAACTTATGATCTCAATGGAAACTTTGCTTTACTCAGGACGTTATTAGGAATCAGAACATGTGTAAGAAGTTATGCAAACTACTTAAAGCTCACTTTGGAGATATTCCCGGGATTAAACTATATTCCCACCTGAAAACACTGATAAGGGGAATTTGCTATCTAAGACCTTGAAAACTGTTAATGAACTATTATTCTGAGTCTAACTCCAGGTATGGTTAACAAGGAACAGATTGAGCTACTGACCCATGATGTCAGCAACCTGCAAAGAGGTTTGTGAGCTGCATCTACGAGCTGCAAGAGGGTGTTCTCATGGGAAGCTCAGGAGAATGACTTTTCTGCATTTCTGAG